CCTTCGCCTTCACCTCCGCGTTCTCCACCGCGTTCGCCTCCGCCTTAGCCTCTGCCTTCGGTCGCCTCTAGTTCTCACCTGTCTCCGGGCGAATTAGTTCCACGTCACTACCCGCAGCAACGCCTAGCGTCACCCTCGCGGCGCAAAGCTCAAGGTTTCTGTCTCTGCGCAAGGATTGCCCAAATTAATTCTTCATAGCACGGTAACTAAGCAGTTCATTTAACGGAAATTCTTGAGATCAGTAAATTATTGATGAGGAAAGAAAAAGAGTCGATGAAAAAATTGATGACGGTTGGATACAACATATGATTGACGGAACCTGCGTTTAAATTAGAAACACCATTGCCGCCGTCACTGCAGCGCCTCGGAATGGGAGGGTCTAGGGATCAAATCCCGACAGTAGCGAATTTTCGATGCTAACTATATCTAGATCGAATTCAACGGCTGTCTGGAGGATAATTCTAGAGGCCGGCTGCTCTGATCGGTAAATTTCTATGGCTACTACGATCAATTCCTGGCAAATGTCGGAACAGTACTGTAATAAATAGGTTAGGGATAGCCCACGATTCTTCATTCCTCTTCCTTGTTCTATCCTCTCCCTTCACTCACACACACACACACAATACCAAGACTGGTGCGGTATCTCGCTATAGAAGATACTTGGAAATGCCCGTCAACCGAAAAGGAGGTCGGCGCTGGATCTCATTCAGCGGGGGAGAGAGCTCCCACGGAAAATAACATTCACTACACTAGCCGGATTAATGACCATAGCAGTTGAGTGCTCGGAAACATCAATCATGAGTGACATGAAAAAGAAAGAAACAAAATGACAAAATTCAAAGCATGAACATTTCATAGGGTAAGTAAATAAACAAGGGAAAGGGTTACAGGGATCGGAGAGAAGATAAAAGAAAATAAAAGAGAGTAGGCGCACAGAACAGGGAGAAGAGACGTAAGAAAATCATTTTAAAAAATTGTAAAATGCACGCAGAAAAAAGACAGCTTGTCAGCTTTGCAAAGGGTCCATGGAAGATGTCACAGTAGTCATGTAACCTTGAAGATGGTCCCACGTTTACACAGAAGTCCTGGCGATTCATTCATTTTTATGAAAATCCGCACCCATTACAAACGCCAAGAAAGTAGAGAGGTCATATTTCAACGAGTCATCGCTAAACTGCACATAACTCAGCTCATTTTCAGGACTCGTTTCTTGGAAGTAGAAATAACGAAGGCAAAGCTTCGCAGGAGAAAATTCACATAATATAAAAAGGTGACGACACATACCTTGTATTCTGACTTCTATATCAATTTACGTCCCGCAGAAGTGGCTAGAATATAAATCGCAACTCTCACATTACACTGCAATACGTCTAATGAGAGGCCTGACGCAAAAAAGGAGCTTAGTGAGCTAATCACTGACGTTATTCTTGTGTTCCGAGACGTCTTAATGGGTAAAAGAGCAGCGATGCTGCAAAGTCCTTATTGGTAAAAATTCATTAACTTGGAGATTGAAAATATACGTCATTTAGTTTAGTAAAGGTCAAATAGGTTTTATAAATACTTTATTTCTAAAAGAAAAACAAAAAAAATATAGTGTATTTATGTGCTATATTAAATGTATTACTTTTCATATTGAAAGAGAAATTAATTCGGAAAGCCCTTCAATCAAATGCTTTCAAGTTTAATACAGTACATTACATTATAAACGTTGGGGCGATGTCTCACACGGAAGTAATAGAGAGTGGTAAAAGTAAAATATGAATCGTCATTATAACAGCCAAAAATTAAAAAAAATTGAAATATTTAAGTTAAATATTTACCTAGCAGTGTGAAAGCGCGCCAATAACTGAACCTAGACATGATTGTACATAAAACAATACGTCGTACAGGAACAAAATAATTCTGTAAACAAAAAAGACATTTGAACGCACGAGGAATAAACAAGTGCCAGTGGCTGGCTTGCGTGAAGACTCACCTGTTCGGAGGAGTGCGTGACGAACGAGTGGCAGTACTGCAGGCTGAAGTGACCGCGCGGCTCGCGCGCCAGGAAGCTGAACTGGCCGTGCTCGGGGTCACACGTGGCGTAGGAGATGCGACGCAACGCGTGCGCCATCAGCACGCTCTGCAACAGGACACGGCGCGGCAATCAGGCTAATGCTC